TAATTCAAATACAGATACAAATGATATTTATCTATAAAAATAAATAAAACATTTCAATACTATTGATAGAAAATTTAGAGCTAATTGTATTGAATGGTATCCGAGACCTCAATCGTATTGAATCTATTGACACAAATCCTATCACTACAGTTTCACAAACATATTTCTATTTATAGAGACGATTGAGATTTCAATTGAATCGATGTTTAATTCAAATACAGATACAAATGATATTTATCTATAAAAATAAATAAAACATTTCAATACTATTGATAGAAAATTTAGAGCTAATTGTATTGAATGGTATCCGAGACCTCAATCGTATTGAATCTATAACATAGATATTATATTAATTGTTAGAAAATTTAATTATTTAATATAATGATTGAAAATATACTGATTTAATATATTCAAACTATTAATATAATTGAAACTATAAAAACCATTTTTTATCATAGGCTTTAATATAAACCTTAATAAATATTTGACAAAATTAAGTAAATATAGACAAACATATATTTAATTAAATTAATTATTGTTAAGAATTAAATTAATTCTTGGATTCATTGCACAGAAATCGTGTATTGGATATAACGGATGGCATTCACGATATAGGAACTGTTCGGTGGGAACTCCTCATATGTTTGGCAGTGGCCTGGCTATTGGTCTATGGCGTTATATGGAAAGGCCTGCACCAAAGTGGCAAAATCATCTGGTTTACGGCTACCTTTCCCTACCTTATATTATTTATATTATTTATAAGGGGTGTAACCCTTGAGGGCGCCTCCCAGGGAATCCTATTTTATTTGAAACCCGATTGGAATCGACTCACGGAAGCAAAAGTATGATACAAATAGTTTTATGAATTGATTTATTTTTAATTTCATTTCATTTGTCTCTTCATTCATTTGAAGTTTATATGAATAAGTTATTTAATCTACTGTTTCCTCATATCTCTGAAATCCAGGTATGGGTATCAGCCGGCACTCAAGTCTTGTTTTCTTATGGCATAGGTATCGGTGCGAACATAGCACTGGGATCTTATAATAGATATCACCACAACTTTTATAGGTATGTGTCATTAATTATCATAGGTTCTTTTTCAAATCAATTTATGCTTAATGTTTTCATTGTATCAAAAATGTATTACACATTTTCGGAATATTCTGTATTGAATATTCTGTAAGAATTGAGAATATGTTAATATGTTTTATGGTAACCAGAGAAACTGATCATTTACATTATGAGTACAGTAATTTAATCAGGCATATGGCATATGTTAAGTGATTAATTTGAAATTATTATTCAATGTTTCAATCACTTGCTTCAAATGCTTGATACAATTTTTAATTTGATATCTTTAGGGACTCCATAATCGCATGTATTGTGAGCTCCGGGACGAGTCTGTTCTCCGGATTTGTCATATTCTCAGTGTTGGGACACATGGCCCACGTCCAGGATAAGCCGGTGTCACAAGTGGCCAAATCTGGGCCGGGACTGGCGTTTCTGGCCTACCCAGAGGTGGTCACACTATTGCCAATATCGCCGCTCTGGTCGGTACTATTCTTCCTAATGCTTCT